ACACAGGCGTTTTTCAGATCGTAATAAATTTGGTTTTGCCGCAAGAATTAAATCCAATCTTTATTTCCGTGACCCCGTTTCTCCTCGTGTTCGAAGCTCACTTATAAAGACAATCTCCTAACAATTATTTACAATTATTAACAATACGAGTGTGAACATCTCGTAATATTGGCTGACCTTCATTACGTATTTGCTGGCGTTGAAATGGTTCTTTCGTTCCCTTATAAGTACATGTTAAACGTTGAACTGGTCAGGGCAGATCTCTGTTCAGTGGGTTCTTGTAAACGCTAAACGTTGAACTGGACAGAGAAGATTTCTGTGCAGTTGGTTTCGGTAAATGCTAAACGTTGAACTGGACAGGGCAGATCTGTGTCTAGTTGGTTCTGGTAAATGCTAAACGTTGAACTGAACGTGTCAGATCCCTGCAAAAAAAAGCTGGGGGCAGCACTAGTATGGGGAACACGAAAAACCCGGCCGTGAGCACTCTCAGTTCCTCTCTGATTTCGATTTACAGCAGATTCGTGGCATTTGACGCAGAGGCAGAGGCAGCTGCTTACTGATGGTGAATCCAAAAAGTATCGCCTGATCATATTTGTACTATAAGATCACAATATGTTCATCTTCTGTGATATTTTTGATTTCAAAGTGCTTATATTTGCCTGTTTATTGGTGAGTACCATTTGATACAGTGTATATATCGTGTTATGTTTTCTCAGGCTAGTGTTGTATGTTTTTTAAATATCGCCAGCGATTCATAAAGTGACACGTATTTGGAAAATCTAGGAATTCGAAGGTACACGGTTCCCGTCATTTTAACCCAAGAATTACGGATTCATTTTAACGATACTGGAATTAATTTCATCGCCTGAAATGCCGCATAACCTTCATACTTATGCTCAGAGAATAACCTTAAAAATATTAATAAACAACCCTCGGAAAATGAATTTGACAAATGTTTTATGTTTGTAATTTTCCCGAATTCAAATCAACTGTATGCGATATACGCAAGCAATCGTATGGCGGAAAATAGAAATACATGTTTTTCACTTTTCATGTTATTTTCATTTATCCTTTATTAGCCCTAATTACCTTATCTTCCCCTATCGTGAGTTCGAAAAATGACTCATACGTTTGAAAATTTGTCAATGTATGAAAAATGTAGCACGTAAATGGATAACGAATGAACATTTACGATATATTATTTTTAGGCGTTTTTGCCAAACAATTTAGCGGACGATGCAAAGGAAGGCGCAGTACCGCTAACTCAACAAAATATCGATATGACGCTTGGTAAGTTATTTTCCTATAAGAGTAAACACACTTTTTCTACCTAGAAATTGTTCAAACATTTACTCTGTATGTTTTAGCATCAAACGAATTGGTGTTTATAAATTTTTATGCACAGTGGTGCCGTTTTAGTAATTCATTAGCTCCTATTTTTGAAGAAGCTGCAACTAAGATAAGAAAATCATTTCCTGAACCAGGAAAAGTAGTAATGGGAAAAGTAGATTGTGAAAAAGAATGTGAGTAAAAGGCACCGAGAATAAAAGAAAGTTATACAGAATTAATATAATTTCGTTGCAGCTTGTGGAACTTGTTAAAAAAAAAATTGTCTTTTAGCCTCTGTCGCTTCGAGGTTCCACATTACCAAATATCCAACTTTGAAAGTCATAAGGAATGGCCAGCCAACCAAGAGAGAGTACAGGGGTCAGAGGTCTGTGGAAGCGTTTGAGGAATTTATAAAGAAACAGTTGGAGGATCCTATTAAGGAATTCTACGATTTAAAGGAATTAACTAAGTTAGATGATAAAAAAAGAATGATCATTGGATATTTTGATAGAAAGGATGTTCCTGAGTATGAAATATTTAGGAGAGTCGCCACTAATCTTAAGGACGATTGTCAATTCCATGTTGGCTTTGGGTAAACATTTTTTATCAAAATTATACAATTAGACTAACATTACAGTTAAGTCTTCCCTAACTAATTTCGTGAAGGTCTCATAAATTGTGTCTGTAACTATTCTATTCTTTTTTCTAACAAGCACATGTTCAGCTCAAAATTGTGAAATTGGGGAACATTTTCACTTTTTGTAAGTAAAATATTGAGCATCGCATACAAATGTGACACTGAGTTTCGCATTTCTTAACATTATTTCGCTTTTATGTAACAAATTCTTTATGTTTTGCAATTTCATGTAACGAAATGTCTACGAATTAAATATAATAGAGATTCTGTTCATTATTTAATTAGGAATGCAAGTCAAGCTATGCACCCACCTGGAGAACCTATAATAGTCTTCCGGTCCGATAAAGCACTTTCTAACGACGAAGATGAAACGTACCATGGAAGTTTGAAAAACTTTGATGAATTAAATATTTGGACACAAGAAAAATGTGTTCCTCTCGTCAGGGAGATCACATTTGAAAATGCGGAGGAATTAACGGAGGAAGGTTTGCCCTTTCTTATACTGTTTCATGCGCCAGATGATATTGAGAGTGTTAAAATGTACAAAGACGTGGTGCTGAAGACGTTGATCGATGAGAAACGTAAGTAAATAACAAACTTCGAATATTTCAAATCTACGAAGTAACGTATGAAAAATAATTTTGTTTTTGTGCGTGTGTGTGATTTCAGAGAATGTCAATTTCTTAACTGCGGATGGTGTGAAATTTGCTCACCCTCTCCATCACTTAGGAAAAAGTCCAGCAGATTTGCCTCTAATCGCAATAGATAGTTTTAGACATATGTACCTGTTCCCAAACTTCCATGATATTCATGTAGAGGGGAAATTAAAAAGTTTCTTGCGAGACTTGTATTCAGGAAAGTTACATAGGGAATTCCATTATGGGCCAGATACTAGTAGCAACGAATTACCGCAAGTTGTTGGACAAATTAAGGTGCCTACAACCCCACCAGAATCAACATTTAAAAAGCTAGCACCCAGTAAAAACAGGTACACATTACTCAAGGACGAATTATAATGATAGAATTAAGATAACTCAGCATGCTGAGATTTGTACTATTTTGGTTATGCAATTTGTTAGTTATTTACAATGATAAAATCCAAATCGGTTGTATTATTAAATCGAATTACTACTCAATGTTACGTGCGCGATTTTTCGGTCGCTCATACAGTATTGTAAAATTAAACGTTTATTTTTAAATGAAAAGTAATTTCATATTAATTAGTAATTTAAACAAAGATGTATAATTCCAACATAAAAAGTTTCGATGAACTTCTACCAAGCGTCACATCTTAAACATCAACCTGTAAAAAGCGCCCCTTCTATCCATTACATATGTAACTGAAATCTTTGTAGAGGTTTCACTACGGAAAATAGTAGGTTTTATTCTATTTTTACATAACACGTGCTTTTTATATTCTCTTTCCTTTCTTACTAAATATGAAAAGAGACTAAACGGTAATCATTTTCAATGGAATTATGAATGAACGCCCGGTATAATAGATTGCATCTCAGTAAAAAGATTTAGAAAACATAGATAATATTGTTAAGATAAAAACGAAGAAATTGTCTAACTATAGGCGGAATGATGTAATATATTGTTTCGTCTAACCTTACTTAATTTTGTCAACATTACCAAATATACTGTTGATGTGATGGCTGCGACAAACGACCTTTATCTCGCGTTCATTCATTTCTTCTCAGTTCATGGAACTTGATCTCCAGACCAATTCACACACTGGCGATACGATAGTAGGCGTTATAAGTTGACCACTTTTTGGATACTTTTTAATTGTGAATCTTGAAATTTTTTCTAGCACAAACGCGAGAACTTTGTATACGGTCGCGAGTATGTGAGAGGAGAACGCGATCGAGTGAAACGCGCGGGAATCATTCGATCGCGTTCGATTATCGATAATCGCATGCGCGTGAGTGAGTGCAGACTGCAGATACGAGATAGATTGTGTTTGATTTAAAAAAACAGAAAACGAGATCTGCTTCTTGGGTAGAGTATTTTAGAATCGACCCGTTGTGTTTCAATTGGACAATTGAATGAAAAGGAAAATAGATGATGTTTAGACGATAATAGCACTAAGATACTCCTAAGAAGCTAATTTGTATGGATGGTGGCATTATTAACTCTTCTGTTAATAAACGATTTCTAAGTCAAGTGTCTACCATTCGTGCTTTATTCATAATCCTTTCTCAAATATGAGAACTATCAGATTGCAAAGGGTGATAGGTTGCAAATGAATGTCCATTATAAAATGGCTGTATTTATGATTAACTTGATACATGTATTACATTCCAGTAGTACACGCCATCACCATTTAATGATGTATTCTAATCTTACAATACATAACATTACACGTAACATGATCATACAGCTAACACCATACATACTGCACTCTCGCCACAATTTCCAGCACTCCCGTTTTTCCACTTTACGACGAAACGTGAGTGGAACAAATCTGAGTAACAACCACCAATCGCAGGTACCACAGTCGGAAAATAAAACCTCTTTCTCTTGAAGTATATACAAAGGAACATATTAATAAATGACCGTGTCTGACAGAAAAATTAAACAAACCGCAGAATAAAGTTCTCAGTTACTAAATTCAAAGCGTTTTCTTTTCAATCCCAGTCGCTTTCAACCAAATGCCAAGTGCTATGAAACGAAATTAAAGAACTTGGCCCATGTTATAATGTTCTTTGCTTTCTATCATATGCGTTAACAGCCGATTCGATAGTCTTTGCAATATTTCAAGATGAATACCTTTTACGTGGAAACGAAATTAGTCATTGAGTTTCACTTTGGTATTTAACTTACTGTTAGAGAGATGCAAATAATAATATTTACAGTGGTAAAATCGTAATGAACACCACGAGAAACATTGTATCGCTTGTGCACTTAACACCTGAGCACTCGCGAGAGTACACGCTACTTGTAGAGTAACAATCAAAATGACGAAAGTGAACGCAATACTTACTAGAGTAAACACGCGTATGTATATTACACCTACAATACGATTTTGCTTGCCTGTCCTTTGAAAGCACGTTTCGTCATAACATAAGAATAAGTATTTAGATATACATATAGGTACTCTAGAAAAATAACGTTATAAACACTCCTCATCGGATGGGAATTAGACATTACAAACGTTATCATAATATTTTTCTCAAGTAAAAATATAAATCTTCTCCTTCAAAGTGCAATATCTCAGATGGAATCACGTTCGGTTTAGTTCTTATCGTTATTCTCTTAATGCATTTCATAGATAATCTTCGTCCTTCTTACATTTTTACAAGCCTTACACTGATCTTCATTACGCTGTTGCCTATTAAAGTTATTTGCACCCCACGAAGAACCAAAGACCTATCAAACGGTTCTCCTTTCAACTCGCTCTAACATCGGATATACGCGGGTATATTCATTTTAGCTAACATGACTTGTACTCGCGATTGTTTTAATAAATTAATGAAAGACGCTTTCTTATTACAATAATTATTCATGACTGGCATTTTATTTGAATCGTTAGTTGTAACGATATATTGAATTACCTACTTGCAATGCTACTACATATGTACGTTAGACCGCTGCACATTAGGCAAATCGAAGAAAAGTTACGACAGTAACAGCGACGGTTCAGCTGTAATGCGCGTGTGGTATCTGGACACGTAAGAAAATTCCTTTGCAACACAAACAACATCATTTTCTTTGTAAATACAATTTAATTTTGTAAAATTAAAAACTGAATGAAAAATTAAAATAAGAATTAAAATACGTAGTTTTCCTTTTTATATTAAAAATAATTTCCAACTTTCTCCAGATTTGCTGTGTAAAACCAAATCGTATATAATTTCAACAGATTAGTAAATTCGCGCTGCAATGATAAAGTTTCATAGTCTGACACTATTCCCGTCGATTTGATTAATGCGATTTGCCTTTTGCCATGGCCGCGTTTATATAATTCCTAAACAATGCCACGTAACAAACTCCGACTAGGAAGAAGCGTAATGCGACCATGCAACATCAAATTCCTTCTCTAATCAACGAATCATCAATCTTTCGGGCTTCAACGATGCAATCGGTACATCTAACGGAACGATAATTCGTATTCTTGCATGTTTAAATCATCTAGTGGCAATCTTCTTTATTCGTCATTGCAAAGCGCGGATTCTTTCGCGTCAGCCCCAACGGACGTACTAATAAATCAATTCGAGTCATCGTCGTGCTATAAAAAAAAAAATCAGATTCTCTCGAGGGCTTTTTGCCGCTTGAAATGGTCTCATGTATAATACAACATAGCCACACTTATTTAACAATTACAATTATTATACATCTAAGTTGATCAAATTTCTCTTTCTTTTTCACATCTATATAATAACGTACATATAAGTATTTGATTACCTTTGCATCATTCAACTCGTATGATATCATCTAGTATTGCCTACTTGCAATGCTATTCAAGTGCCCCCTGTTCTTTTACGCCTGCCCTTTTTGTCATTCGCGGTTTTACTCGTTTCGAAAACTGCTACGAGCTCGCATTTCTTCAAGTTTGACCACGGACGTGATTGATAACACGCTAGTTGTGAATGTCCCGCAACTTTTTCTCTGCTCAATTTCTGTATTAAGTTCTAAAGCAACGAGAACCAACCGAAACGTGTTAACTTGAAGAAATGTACAAGGTTCTAAAACTAAAGAACGTAAAGCATTGCACAGGTTTTCATAACTGTCACGTTAGCATAACTTTTTCCAAGTAGAGAAGTTTTATACAGTCTCCAACATTCTCCACATTCACCTGAACTGCGGCTCGGTCATCAACATATCAAACAACTATGATAATGTCACAGTTATCAAATCTCGCAGATTGTTAAATATGCTATTTTATCTAAAAACAGAGACAAAAGTTCGCGATGTGAGTCGTAACATACAAACGTTTATCTATCTCGAGTATTTCGCAGTATCGTGTCATTCTCATTGTCCTATTAGTATCGAACGATCGAAACGAATACAACAAATCAATATTTTATAAATATTTGAAAAGTTACAAGAGTAAACAACAAGCTAGGATTATAATCATTTCTCTCTCTCTTTTGGACGTACGTTTAAAAAGCAAAGAAATGAGTTATTCGATTAAGTTAGTATTTAAATATTTTTCTCAGCAAGTCTGATCCACAGACATACGTAACAATTAAAATATGCTTCGAACATCCAACGCTTATACGATATAAACACATAATGTAACCTGTGCAGCTTAATTTAGAAATAATTTTGAGTATAAATTGAACGTCTCCGGAGTACACAACATGATCGTACTAAGTACGTTGCAAAACTATGCGCAATAGATTCTAGAAACATGCTCGAATAGTGCCGATTGAACGGAAGACTTGCACGATCCTCATCGAGACATTTGTATAATCAATTTAACGCTTAACTGTTAAACGGCTTCGGTCTTCATTCAGACGTATAATAACTACTAATAAAATCTGCCAGCAGAGTTGGACGATACGATATGATTTGTATACACGCGCGTATACATTCACGTGAATGTAATATAAAATAATTTAATATGTAGAATATAATATAACGCGATGTTATCTGAATGTACATTAAGATCTGGGCTCGAAGAGTATTCTATAAAAATACTTTTCGGTAGGACTGATCAACGATAACTTTGATAGAGCTCTCTCTATTCGCCGCCGCAGCATTCCCGCGTGAAAGTCTGCATTCCGAAAGCACTTCAAGTGCAGCTCTGGACGTCGGGGTTTAATCGAAGGGACTTCCTGCCAGCATTGGGAAACCGCAAGAACGGAATTAACGCGTGCAGGGAGTTAGGAAATTTTCTCGTCGCGGAGATGCATGGCGGGTCAAGTACATACTTACATAATTGATTCGAAATAACGTGCACGCAATCAGAGGTCTCAGGGCATCGCTGTTTGTTCTATATTAATGAACGAGGTACCTATTACAAGCGCGCGTGACAAATGTGCGTTTTGTTTCGCGTTACGAACTGAAACTGCCCGATGTCCCATGGACACTTACAGGTTACTCATTTCAATTCGCGTATCCGGTTAATGCCGTTGTTCGATGCTTGCGATTCCTGATGCGACCTCTGACGCGGCAACCTTTTTTGGGAAAGATATATGTACAGGTATTGACGATATCTTGTACTTGTGTTCTAGCATTTGTAGATTATCTTATTGATTAGTTATTTCTCGAGACGGAAAGTCGAACTAAACGTTTGTAGGGTGCAATGAAATCTCGTGCATGGCGTAAATCCAAATGAACCGATTGATCCGTCGCAATTTTCATCGAAACAAACGCAATGGAACAAATAACAAACTATAATACGTGAAATAGAAAGATCTAAGATACTGAAATCACAACTGAGGACTTGTGAAACAATATGTAACGAAGAGTGCACATTAACAGTAAGCAGTAAACATTATTATAATGTTATAGAAAAGAAACTAAACGAAGTCTATGATAAACAGCACCTTCATCGTACTTTCTGCAACCTCGACTTTCTAACATTTCTCTTACTCTTTCTCCAACAAATTTTTTCGCAATCATTTCAGACACACGTGGCAAAACGTAGGCCTTCTCGCGAGGTAAATCTCGAATAGCTTCCTTTCAATAAAATCGTTAAGATATTGTCTTTGGGACGTTATACATTACTATTTTGTGTCAACTTAGCGAGCTCTTTTATTATATTTCTCTCCTTTAGCTACCCTAGCTGCTGTTTAGCTTACCTACCGGTCGAATCGAACAACGCAATGCAATTACATGCTCCATTATCTAACTAAAGAACAGAATTATTGTCTACCGCTACGTGTATGTCCTGTGTATGTTCTGTGAGATCACTGGTTCGTGTGTGACCCGGAATATGTATTCGCGTATAATTCGTCGACGCTCATTAAGGACACAAAATGAATCCGTCTGTAAAAACACGCTTATAAGAGCTCTTCTTATTGTTTTACGTATTCCATTTTCCCGTATCTTCCCCGCCTGAATGTTTCATTATGTACATACACGCGCTTCTCTTCCGCTCTTTGACCAACCAGCCAGATACACCTCCCTCGCCATCTTTCACTCCTCTTTCTCTCACATTCTCACATTTTCATACTTACGTTCACTCTTTCTCTCTCTCTCTCTCTCTATCTCTCACTCTCTGACACTAACATTTTTTCTCGTGGTTGTTGTATTTTTTCAAAACCATAAAAATATCAATGCCAGTATACCACCGACGTACATCGCTAACGTGTGTATATATAACATATGTATGTACGTATGTATGCATGTATATGTATACTAAATATATGTATATGTATATATGAATATCCATAATAACGTTACTTGAAGTATTCTTTGGGTGTAACACCATGTATAGGTATATATAATAGGTATGTGTATAATGGATTTTATTACGTGTACGTATTTCTTCTTCTATCTACGCGCTAATTAACTACTCTCTATGTCGTGACCTATGGCTGTGGCTTCTTATCTTAAGGATCTAAGGATGCACGACAACGTAATTAACACGTTGGCATTTAGGTGTTGGATTGAATGTTGAGGTTTCTGGTGGACGGTGTTCAGTATTTAAGGGAGTTGACAAGGTAAGAGCCTAAACTTACGTCGGGACTAACAACAAGGGGTGTATACTCACAAGATTTCTCAGCTGTTCGAGTTGAATTGGAAACAAATCAGATGTATATTAAATAGAAAAAAGAACGTTCAGCAATTGAAGTCACTGAAAAATACTACCACTGACGTTTTACATTTAAGGAAAAGTCGCTACTGTTCTTCTGCTTTGATTTTTGCTTTCCAGCGACTGCGTTGGCTTACAGCCATAACATGCGTCTAAAAATTCTGTCACGTGGGTATCGTTAAATAACTATGAATAATCTACGTTCCAACGACATTCATCTAAATTTGAAGACAGATCGTTATAGAGCTATCTCTCTTTCGCGTCGAGTCCCGCGGTTAACATATCAACGACGAAATCCGAATGTCACCTGAAATGCTCGACTCGTTCACAAGCGAATCTACGAAATTGGAGGAACAATACCGATCAAGCGATAAAAGTGAATGGTGTGCGATCGGTATCTCGATCGGTCACACCGCGGATCTCAATCCCAGCGTGTAAATATTGATACGTGATGGTGTATCAACATCATCGTAACTGCAAATACCGTTAACTATGTCTCAACAACGTAGTGTTCTTTGATTCAACAAGCAAAGATTGTACTTTCCGATGCCATGTCGCGTTCCGCAATACGTTTTAGGCCATCGACAACGACCAGCGTTTGTACGTTTCACGGTTGATCGTCATGCAAAAAAGTATATCGTGTAAACGAGAGATCGGTGTATGGTATGGAGAGAGACTGATCGATTCCTAACAGTATCAATAACGATGTTGTTATAGCATTAATAGAGAGTATAGATAAATAGTAGTAGGTAGGTAAACGCTAAATGAAGCTCAGTTGATTGTTTCGGGAGCGAGCTCCTCACTCGTTTTTCACGTAAAATGTTCGCTAGCTTATGCTTGTAAAATTAATTTCAGGGAGCTAGGTGTATATGCGTGTATGCGTGTGCAACTGCGGAAGTCACCCTCCCGTTTCCCTTACCCATTCCCTATTCCCTATAGATTTTCCACTTTCGTCACTCCACCGCTCGAGACACGATTTTCAGTCTTCCTTTCCCATTCGTTTCGTTCGTAAGAAGAAAGATATCTGAATAACCCGATGTCTTCCTTCATGGACCAATGGTACAGCGACTTTAAAACATTCTCCAGCATTCCTAACGTTCCACGGACTCGTTAAAAATGTACTCGATAGTGGAGTTCGTGGTGGTTGACCGGCTTGCTTATCATTTTGGAGAGGAACTTCACGTGTTTGATTTTTATTTCTTCGACGAAGACTTCCGGCAGCTGAATAACTTCTTGTCCGAACCGTGGCCACCGAACTAATTCTTCGACGTCAGGATTGTCACGAACTCTGTGAAAATAGCGTCTTCGTTGCGAACGAAATAATCACGACGGTGATAAAATTAAACCCGTTTGCAAAGCTGTCGTTTCAATACTTGAAACGTTTACTATTTAAAGGAGCTAGTTATTACGTTGAGGCAACAGTATGCGAGAATTACACGTCTTCAACGGTAGGTAGTTGTCGTAAGCATTGAAAAAAAATGTATTACCTTCGTAATTCACCATTCCATCGCCATCAAGATCTGCCTCCTTGATCATATCGTCCACTTCTTCCTCCGACAGCTTTTCTCCAAGGTTCGTCATTACGTGTCGCAGTTCCTTCGATGATATCAAACCGTCGTTGTTCTTATCAAACACTCTGTAAAATAGAAATTTATCCGATTATCGACATTCACTCATCGACATCTCTGACTGCGTGAAAGTACCGGAACGTGGCTGTACCTAAACGCTTCGCGCAGTTCGTCTTCGCCATCGGCGCCTTTCATCTTCTTCGACATCATCTGCAGGAACTCGTTGAACTCGATGGTACCGTTGCCATCTCGATCCACCTCGTTCACCATATCTCGCAATTCCGTTTCTAGAATCGTAAATTAGCCGAAAACATGACATAATCGCAGACTCGGGCTGAGCTTTGCCTCGTGAATTCAGAAAATTGTCGTTTAAGCGGTCCCAGAACACAGTCATTTTCTCGACGTCCCCGCCCCTTCCAATCCCCGCGTGTAATACACGTACATTCATCGTCGTTTCATAGGACGCATTTAATTTCCCTTGTAGACCTGTCGCGGAGCGCGGGCAGAAGAACTCGACGTGCAGTTAATTACTAACCTTTGCACGTGCGCCCGGTCGTTACTACAGTTTCTAGTTCGGCATCGGCCGAAAGTTAATTTTCCGTAAGCCCTTGTCACAGGCTAATTTTCGGGAATTCCGAGACACCGTTTAACGCCGTCTTATAGAAAACGTTTAAACGTTTGCCTACTGAGACATTAATTTGAGCGAATATTATTCTACAATTTACGGTTTGTCTTTGACGTTAGAAGAATGTTAGTATTTATCACATGCGATATTTATAATGTTGAACATGAATTGAGCTTCACCGTTTCTTTGTTATACGTTTAGACAGTTAATATGCACAGTGAACTCGTTAGTTTGAAATGGAAGTGGAAAATAGCAATTGGATTAGTGTTGGAGTTCACGAACGGTTATTTTACGACAGTATAATAAACAATACAACAATGGCTAAACGATTTAAACTGTCGCTATAATTTTTGGCCGCGCGTAGGTAGTTTTCGTCAGCTAGTGGCTTAAAGCCAGATAGCTTCTGCCTCTATACACACGTGGACGACACGAGGCCGATATCGTTTCACGTACTCCCGTTTTTCGAGTCGTTTGAATTTCCACTTACCGGACGGTCTCTGGCCCAAAGATCGCATGACTACCCCGAGTTCCGCCATCGTGATGGTACCGTCTTCGTCCTTGTCGAAGAGCATGAACGCCTCCTTGAATTCTGAAGCGACAAATCGCTGGTTAATACACCGTATTCATCGTCGATCCGGTCACGACTACATCGTTTTAATGATTCGAGTGCAGCAAACGTAAATCGAGGAGTTCAAGTGTCGACGCGAATTTTCCTTCGAGAATAATTGAAACCGATTGAGACGAATTAACGATTCGCCTCTCGCGCTCGATTTATAAAGTGCTCTCGAGATAGGAATGCATCCGGATTCGATTTTGAAAACACGAGGATAACATTTTTGCCCTGTGGTGGTAGGAATTCCAAAGAGCGACCAAGCCGTAAATAACAACGGGATAAAAAAACTTCGCCGGAAATTTGGCAATAGGAACGATATACAACAAACGCTTTTGCTCGGCGTCGCATTGTTGAGAATTCACGGATTTAGATGTCCATTAATCACGAGCCGCCCTGTTAACCGTGTGTACGTGCACGGTCACGCGTTGAGAGTCGTGCAAGACACGAGCCGTGATCGCGCGAGCGTCGGGCACGGAGCCAACGGCGATAGAATCGAGAAAGAGATTCGCCGATATAAATTTTCAGAACACCCGACCGTGTACCATACGTTGAAAATCAGCGCACGACAAGGAAATCTTGAATAGTTTACGAAACCATGCGTTCGTTAAACCAGTCTCGTTTGATACGCCAGCAGTTCCCAGCGAAACAATGCTCGCCAGTGCCATTGTCGCTGATACAGACACTTTCTAGTCAATTTTTTCCTCTGTATTCACTGTCGCTATTATCCGTCGTGCATTCATTCATCAAAATTGCGTCTTTGTCTTGATGTACGATTCTTTTGCTCCGAGATGACACTGATACGAAAACAGTATTTAAACTCGCGTGTTCGAATAATTTAAAAGGAATGTAGTCTAAAAACAAACCGAGGTAGATGTAGATATACCTTTCTACTGAAGGGCGAGCGATTACGCTATTAACGAGACAATAAATCGCGCGAGGAAACGAATTTAACGATTTATGAATGTCCGATGCATTATGGTCTGAGAGGGTGGAATATGCAAATGGGGTTCCTAAACGATGTTGCCGTTTGATGTTATCACCTATAGATCGGGCCGCATTCACCTTGCGCTTATTGCCATGTAAACGCCCGGTGATGCATTAATGTGCATAATCAAGTGGGCAACGTCTCTCTTACAATTAGTCATTCCACGGTGGGGCCTCGCAATCAGCGATCTCAGGTCGCGTGCCTTCGCAAAAACACATGAGCCGCATCGTTTTAAAAGTTCCTCGACGCCGAGAAACCATCCAAGCTAGCAAGGCCAATGATCGGAGTCACGTGAGTCCAAAACCGACGTACTATGCAACGTGTTTCAGCCAGACCGACGAGTAATATCATTACGTAAAGGTACTTTCGCAAATTAGACTTCCACGTAGATATCGAACGCTGAGTACAGAATTAATTGACAAAGAACGATTGATGCTACAAATGCATATGCATGAAAGGAAGACGAATTCTGTGCGTTGCGAGCTGTTTAATGTAACTAGAAAAGTTTTCGAGTACGCGGCATTGCGGCATAAAATCACGAAGTAGCTCCTTTAAATTGCGAAACGATGTAGTAAAAGTCTAGCACCGCGGGAGGGCTAACGTGTCATGCTTGCGTTCAACCGTATTAGCGAGTGTGTGCTCATCAGCGAAACCGCGGAAAGCCCCGCGAAAACTCCTACTCGTTAACATTTTTCAGTGGTACTTGAATTCACTGTCGACGTTTCAGCTTTTTCCGGGCGCGGACGAAAGTGTACCTGTCGCGTTTCACTTTCGTACTTGAGAGCAAGCTTACTGATTATTTGACTAACATAAGCGACAGAAGAATCGTGAATGATAAGTTCGATTTTAACGCTCACTTACCGGCGACTTGATCCTCCGTGAGCCCATATTCAGACTGAAAAAAGAATGCAGTGTAGTATTAGTAAATCGGCGAGATGGTACCTAATCTTTTAAACATTAATTTCTACGATGTTAGTACAAGATTTTAATTGATTCGTTAACGCACTTTGGGTACGACAAGAACGACTGATCAAAACTTAACGTGGATCGGCTGCTGCCGTCGACCAACCTGCGCGGATCCTGTTTGCAGAATGGTGCCAATTCCGACCGAAATCTCATTAATTTGATCAAATTAACGGATTGGATTATTTTCTCTCTCCAATAATTAGCCCATTGACTGATTAATTTTTTCTCAATTTGGTTTGCGCAATCTAAATGGATTTTGCGACCGTTCGTACGAGTAGTGAAACAAAATTCGATTCGTGAAATTATTCAAGGAATGCAGACCCGCGCACCGGCTGATTGAATTAATTAACGCAACTTTCGACCCGCCGCTTCCCGATGAGCATCTCGTCGAATAGACATAGGTATTCAGGGATACGCAGAATTCGCACAATTAACGATCTCCCTTGCATCGAACTTGCAAATTGCTCGACCCGCAGTAATACCACGCCGGCTTATCCGTCTTCTACATTGCGACTGTAGCCGACATTGTTAAATCAGCATTAATAGACAGAGGATTTAGGGACATATGCTATTAACACGATTAGAGGAACATTGACTTAATTGTGATTCGCTAAATCGGTATCATTCGTTCGCTGTTGCATAAACCGCTGAACATGTTTGTTTCCTAAATATAATACGCAGGGGGACCTTTTTTGTAGCTGATGAATAGAGCTACAACTTTCATGTGAAACATTTTCCACTAGCTTCAATTGTTAACGAGAATACTCTATAGTATCAAACTTCGTTAGACGGTCAACCATTGACCACTTGCTTGTTACGTTTACCCATCGCTTTTTTCGTTGATGATACGGCAGCCTCAACATTATCATTATTAAGAATGAGATGTGTCCTCATCAAGTAATTCAACACAGTCAGGTCGAGAGCCAAATGAATGGAACCACGGACCAAAGACCAGGAATGCTTATGCAGATGAAAACGAAGTTTTACATATGACTACCACGTGTTGAATATAATCATCTTTTTGGCACGTGTTTCAATTCACCTGTTTTAGGGCACGTACAGACTTGAGCATGAACGAGGCAAGTCGAGACCAAATAATTAAAAAATAATCAAATTTTAAACTGAATAGTATTACTGTTTGCTCCTAATCTTATTTAATATAACGTTAAAACACAAGCATACTGATCGTTTTGTCACTATTTTTAATTGCATTTCGGTCTAAACAGGTAAACATATATGTTAGCGATGTGTCAGTAAAAGAGCATTAAATTTTTTATTGAAATTCCTACAGTTGATAGAGAAAGTTAATATCTAATCGGTTTCGAAAATGCGGACTTCTAAAGTTTAGCCGGTACGATCCCCGCGGAATATCCGCGGAGTCTCATTTCTGCTCCTAGGATCAAAGGGTAATTTCCTAGAATCGGGTAGTAGGTGTCTAGACGAGTTGGTGGATGTTAGAGCAGGTTAGTAACTGGGTCAACGTGCGAGAAGGACAGCCACAGCGGCGCCAAAAAATTGCTTCTTGCACTACGATATCTCCGGAATCGGAAGCCGAATCTGGATGAACTAAACGACGTAGGCTTTTCGCTTCGAATCTTGTAATTTTATGATAATTTACTGCAAAGTTATTGATCATTGGACTTTTACTTTTCTTTATAAGCGTTAGTATGGGGACTGGATGGATATTCTGGTTTTAGTTTTAAATCTGTCTAGCTTAAAGCGTCTCATTTAAGGCAGCCTGCTTTAATCGGTTTCGTGTTCAAATCTGTATCCACCCTTAAATAAATTAAAATAATTACCTAAACAGGAGCACTAATGAGGCCTGCTATGGATCGCATAGATTAATTAAGCTTATTCGTGAAACAAGTATCGAATGATATCTCTGGTTGCAGATGTTTCGTGACGATGTTGCAATTTGCACAAAAATGCTCGAAATCATCCCATACAAACATCAATGTAATATATGAATACGTATACATACGTAGAAGTGTAACATCTATTCCTGTTTTCTTTTATTACCCATGGCAGTGCTTGTTATATTAATTATAATGCATCTTTATCTCAAAATGAATAACATATCTACTGGGTATTCCAGAAGCGTTCAACGACGTCGATTGAGAATGACTTTTGGCGAAATACGTGTTATGCACATCCTCAGACGTAATCGTAAGCAGTGTGGGAAAGGGACATAGGTCTTTTGGATCGTCCTGTCCAAGTCGAAAACTCTTACTCCGATGGTTCGGGGATCTCCCGAAGTGGATAGACTTGATATTCAACTGGGTCAGGTCCTTTCCTGCCGGTTTTGAGAGGGGCTCGCATAAACTCGGGGAAAAGTCATTCAAGGCTTTACGAGTGAACGTGTCTGCACTGCATTTATATATTTACCCGAGTCCCTTTGAGCTCGGGCCGCGAACTCAAACACTCAATTGCTATCGAGTTCACTAAAAGCGAAATAATATTGACAACTCGCGGCGGACATTATGGTTTCAACGCGTCGAGTGGAAATTGCAAGAAAACCGACTCGAGATCAGTTTAGAAATCTTTTTTGCTTAGGTCGCCTTACTTACGCTTATCTGTCGAATTTGGCCGTCGATGGTGCTCGTCAATCTTCGCAACCTCCCGTACTCGGTTGTATACTTCTTCTCCGTGTCGGCCATTGCGTCTTGCGACAACGAATCCCGCGCACTAATTTTATTTATTAACAACGCGTGCACTTGACTCGGTACAAGTCAACTTTTAAATTAACATTCGTCAATTAATCGTCCCGTTATGTTTTCACAATGCAGTGCTTCGAATCTTGTTCAAACTTTTTTCTGTCGCCTCGAACCCGGACTTTCCCTCAATGAGTTAGCGCCTCTGCAGGACCGAACACTAATAATATTTATGGACTAGAGAGTAATAACGTCACCGGGTGCTCGCGCTGCAGCAGATCCTCTGCTTCGTCTTTGGTTCATTCTGATCCTCCCCTCTCAAAGCGATCGTAAATTCTCACTCGACACCCACTTTTCAATACGCACTCGTGATAAATCATCCTACGAAAATCAAAGACTCGACTCGAGCCCGAAACGGATCCAGGGCCGCGATCATACTTTCTACGGTCGTATTATTCGAGTTAAGATAAAGCGGGTGCGAGCTTTTGGACAACCTTCGGCTGTTTTTAACTTGTCAGTGGTCCTCGACGATTGGTTGGCAGTCTCCTCCTTATTTACCTCGTTCTCTGTCCTCCTTTCTCGTTTATTCCGCTTCTTTAATGGCAACATGCTCGCCTCGCGCCGGTGGTTCACTTTGCCAAGCGATATGCATCACCGGAAACGCGAATGAAACCGATGTGCCACGTTCATCGCCGCGAGGCTGCCGACTAGCGTGTCTTACAAAGTAGAGTTGTACAGGTGGGAGTTCGAAACACCTGGCCGAGGCTGGTGATCGTTTCGAAGACCCCTTGGAGACGGTTCCCAAAACAGGCCGATGTTCTGAATCAACCGCGTCGCGCGTGATTTAAACGGACATCGACTGCTATTATGTAGACTATCCGCAAATATTTTCGACGATCTAACTTTGGCTGGTCATGTTCTTACGCAACCTACTCGGTAAAATGTTCGCCAGACGGAGTCAAGTTTCTTGAACCGCGGACATTACCGTGCAGTATTCGGTAACATTGAAATTAATTGATGCTCAAACGGAAGTATGTATTTATTTTGCCGAGCGAGAGTAGTCAGGGGAGGAGGCGACAGCGTCTGAAATTATTTTCGGAGCGTCGCGACGAAAAATCACGGACACTCTGACCCGTTTCGTGTCCGCGTGTGAAATTCATAAAATGCAGCCGCAAACGGTTTATTTTTACGAAGCTCTCGCATCGATACGATCGTTGGCGCCACGCTTTTGAAAACCCCGATACACACCGGGGCAATTTAGATAATGGAAAACTGGTTCTACGCCTTATTGGATCGCGGAAGCTTTTGCGTCAGTGAAATTAACCTTTGTTAACGGCACGACGATAGTCGAGGTTAAATAAACAGTCGTTTAAAATAAATTGATGCTTCGTATATACGTATAAAGTACGGTAACGTGATAAGAACGCGTTTTCTTATTGTCAGGCTGGGTGCTACCATCTGATGGCGAAGTAAAATCTAAATTGGACTTGTTTACTAGCTGACTGTCTGTTTCTACTGCGAGATACTTGACCAGCGCTTTACGGCGCGCATGTTATAGCCGTCAGCCGAGGTGAACAAAAATAAAAGACCCGGTTTCTTGTACTTATCCTAAGCTATAATATGAAACTCAAGCATTGTTCTAGCTCGAGGATTTTAGCAAAATAATTTTTACTCACTAAATTGATGTTGACGATGAGATCGTACTGCTGCCTTTGACCCTTCTTCTTGTTCTTGCCAGTCTTGACGGAGGCTGCCTTGGGTGTAACCTTAACTTGGCCCTTCTGTGCTGTAGGTTTTTGAGCTGGTTTCGCCGCACCTTTCGCGCCGGGTGGCACCTTTTGACCAGCCGCCAGCGACGTCTTCTTATCAGTCGAACCCTTCTGGTTAACATGGCCGTCTGCTGGTTTGTTGCGAGCCTATCGCCGGGAAATAAAATGAAACTGTTAAATTTCTTCATAATCGAAAATAGACCCGGAAATCATTCATTTACCAACGTATATCGCAATGCCACGTGAACTAACTGATAAAGTTCTCGTGTAATCGGAGAAATAATTCTTCTTCTCTTTTCTATCATACCAAACGTGAGATCAACCGTATCTTCACTTTTTGCTTCGCCAGCGGTTTTCCTCTGCGGTTTAACGAGTTTTTCCACCTCTGCGTTTAAAGTTGCTCCGTCTTTAATCATTAGTATTGTATGAAACATTCCCATATCAATCCCTAACTGAACTGCAATGAGTACATAAAATGGGAATTCACCTGTTACCAGAAGTAAAATTCTTGAAAGAATTGAGAATTCAAGAAAGCGTCGATGTCGAAGACAATCGCCTAACTAGCGGTTGTACGTGTCCGCGGCAAAAGTTTGCATGAATTTCAGAACGCAGAGAAAGTCGACATCGGAAATTGTAAAAATAATGTTGTTTACCGATAGTACTCTGTTGTTATGGGCGAAATACGAAACTGGGCCATCACCGATTGCGAATCTCTTTTGTCCCGTTTGCAAAGTTATCTCTGATGCGCCTCTATCTCTCTCTCTCTCTCTCTCTCTCTTTCCATCTATTTTTCCAATCTTCATATATAGAGTTATATATCTCAATTTTTATGCGGGCAAAGCTTTTTTCGTTATTAAACATCTCCACTATAGAAAGCAATATAAAAGAATATCCATTTACAACACATGCAATTTGTCTAACGAATCTTTATAGATCCATCGTACAAGTGAAATTGTGTACAACGAAGTTGCTTTTGATTGTTATCATGCGTTAAAGTTTAAATACCGAGAATATCTCCTAGATCCGGAACAAACAAAAACCTCGGCCTGCAATAGTCCAACCTTCGACCCATGCTCTGCAATTAGTCATTTCACCCAGGCACTCTGAATCTCTTGTCTCGCGAAATGTTTTAATCGAGGAGAGGTTTTCCAATACCGACTCGACCAGCCGCTAACGAGAAACGGTCCAAAAAAAAAAAAATGGGACGACCACTACTACCTTTCCCTCGTCGGTCCGAACGGAAATTCGTTTTTTCCTGGCGAGATAAAAATCTAAGTCCGCGCAGGCCGAACAATACTCTTAATTACGAGTAGTGCGCCGAGTCAACATTTCCAGGCCGGGGTGCATCTGCCGCCATTGTTCACAGGTTTCCGCTAATGTCGCAGCATAGAATGACTGGTAGTTTTTCCGATTTTCACCCATCGACTTTTCTCGGATTTTCCGCAGAAATTAATCGTTTCCCCGGGTAATACTAGGAACACATTTCTGTCTATCTCGGCTTCTTTTATTCCCTCGTTACTCTCTAGATAATAACGATTGCTCGCGTAACGACCAACAAAAAGGTAAATAGAGGTATGAGAATGATCGCCAGCGGCGCAATTTCTATCCATAAACCCTTCTAGTGAACGATCGATGCAGACCGGATCCGTAAATCGAATATCATTGTTATCGCGGAATAAACGGATGAGAGAATTCTGGCTTTCCCCTCCGACCCCGCGATAGACAATCGCGGCAGAGATTTGAATCTCTCGAGATTCGGACCGAGTCGGATTCTGATAGCCACGATGGGAGGGAATAAATCGAGTTAGTTGATATAAACTGCAGATCGAACCCGGAATCCTACTGAGGCCAACAGGAAAAACCTTGGGTAACGATAGTGGTAAGCGGAAAAAAATTTAGGCCACGCGCCTGATCGTAGGAAACGAGTAAAACGTCCAAAGTGATTCGAAACATGGATAAGTGTTCTGCGAGCAATCTTCACGGAGACGCGGTGCCGATCGATAGGGACGAGAAAGCAAAACGAGAAGTTCGTCGACCGTCTGCCCAATTACTACAATCCAGGGTAGACTCTCTGCTTAAATATAGAATAACTCATGAGGTACACAATCGGTATTGGACATTCTAAAAATACCACGAGTTTATTCAAATAATAATTCAACGGTGAGTTGGCATACCTCGCGTGGGTGGCACTGACGAGATAATTATAGAGTCCGTCGTCTACCGCGTTCTTACGAAAAGTACTATATCACTCGGCCATGGGGACGGGGAAAAACTTAGTATGGACCGTGCGATGCTTTTATTTATCAAAGTCACACGCAAGATTACATCCTTATGCAATATTTGTGTAAAGAACAAACACCATTTGTCACCCGTCCAACGAGAGAGGGATTTTAATTAATCGTCTAATAACGCTTATGTATGAGAGGATCTTGCTCGGTTCGATCGCGCAAGGCGCCGGCATCGAATAATTCTTTCGAAGAACAATTTCATGAATTCATGTAGACCGGGAAATATTAAATTTCCTGGTAACCAATAAAAAGAATCGCCGATATACATTGCGGCCGAGCGATGTGGTAGTTGAATGGAAAGCGGTAGTATCATAGTCTGGAATGTTTTGAAATAGCAGCATCCCCACCTTCTTCTTTCCGCCACTGTCGGCGTGTTCTCTCGGCTGCCTCCTACAACCGCGTTTGCGGTCTACGAAAATTTTATTGCTTTTTCCCTCAAACTTTTTGGCAGGCCCTCCGGTCCACACAGAAAACAACCTACGATATTTATAACTGCGATTTTAAGTAATACTCTTCGCGCAGTGAAGTAGTGGATCGCATTTCTCCCGTTTTCTATTGCACGTTACAAATCTTCGGACGCGACGAAAGCTTCAACGCGAATAATCCGTGTCCGAGTTGGGAAACTGTTTTAAGAGGTTTGGTTGGAACGAGCCTCGCGAGGGGATGAAATTTTTCGTAACTGGTTTCCTTCCTTCGGATAAGTCGGTTGACACGTGGCCTTGAGATTCTGACGCCGCTCCATTTTTCGCTGCGGCGTCGGTTAACCGTTTTCACGGAGAACTGTAGCATTATAGCAGCGAGAATTGGCGTCGTCTTTCCGCGCCGCGTGAAGCTGTGAATTTCGATAGTTCGCAGGTAGGGATGGGAGAAATTCTTCTTCTCCCCTTCCATGCGTTCTAGCTGAGCTTATAAAAGATATCCAGACCAGATAAACCATTAGTACCGAAGAACGAAGGGACGCACGGCTCATCGCAGATAAACCGCCGCGGAAGATGGTTAGTCCGATATTTCTTAATTAAGTGTCGTCGAGCTAATCGCGGTTGTGTCGCGTTGTTACACGGAAACCCGTTTTAATTGAAGGATTCCGTATTGGAACGGTAGCAAATCAGTTAGTTTGGCGCAACGCCAGAAATTCCATAATCAATTTTGCATGTCGAGAATAATTGACAGACGAGGAATCCAAAAATTTCGTACGGGTCTCTGTCGTTTTTCAAGTGAACAGTTAACAACGAGTGCTTTATCGACGAAGGAATTACACACATCTTTGTTGTTTGTTTCAGGATGAAGAACAGGTCAAAAGTATGTAAAACGCGCGTGGTAATTGGCGAACACGAGGCCGGCGGTGTTTCGTGCGCGTACAAATAGATTCTTCGAGCTGGTGCACTGTCCACGTTTCAGTAAATTCCAGACGCTTGAAAAATTATAGTTTACTCATGCGTTTTAAACATTTAGGTCGCGGCCGGTGTGCATTTCATATAAGTCGTCATCGCGACTTCAAAGGACCCGACGCGATTATTCATTAAGATTTGTTGCTCGAACGCAGCGATCAGATTTGGTTACGACACGAATTCCAAGTCGAAACGACGCAATGGTCAGAGCCGAAGACCGCGAGTCTTCCGCGAAGCTCCACAAAAACGTCACACCTACTGTTACCTCTCATCTGCCCACGCGTTACTGTCGTTCCGTACCGCAGAGCAGAACGCGTCACGGTTCTACGTGGCGCGCAAGTTGCGCAATCCCGATTCCCTATCGCAAAATAAACCCTCGATTGACTCCGGCACCGATATTTTAATGCACACCACTCGCTGCCCCGATCGTGTAAATAAATAGAAACGCGCCGCGACGTGGTCATGCATCCAGCGTTCGTATTATGACCATGAAATTTTCCAGAAAATCGATCTAATTCTGAATCGATATCCCCGGTTGTCGTGATGCAACGCTGAAAATAACGATCGCAACAAAATGGAAACAGCGTTTTCGTTGTTATTTTACAGTGCTCAGGAGAGCTTTCTCCATGTTCGATTCAACCAAGTCCGGTCGGATTGAGAAAGAAAAAGTGAGAACTATTCTCAATACTCTGGGGCACACTTTCGACGATCATGACCTCGAGGTACTTCTCAAACAGGAGGACGAGGAAGGTGTGTATAAATGTTTATATATCGATATTCTACTAGACAGAGCTTAAGAAATTGCTCGCCTTCCGCGTGTACTATGATACTTTTTGGACCGGCGTTGTTATTCCCTGGATCGATGGCTTCGTTCGACCGAACGGGGCCAAATAATTCATGATATAATAGTCGAGACGCGGGAAGGCACGTGTATAGAGGTAACGAAAGCTGAACGGAACGCAACGGAAACTTCACTTACCAATTTCTTAGTCGAGACTTGAAACCTTACTCTGATCAATTTTAATAGCTCCGGCTATATTAACTTTCGCTGCTATTTGCCTAACTGCGTGTCCATAAGATTATCCGGCGCTATGGATATATTTTAAACGCGACCGAGGTAAAACGATCGAACGCACGACGGCTAGACGAAGACACCTTTTATTATCGACAGACTTATTCAAACGGCGGACATCGCGCGTTAAGATTTTCTTTGACTAGCTCCCTTAAAAGAAAGAATGATCCTTTTCAAGATTTCTACGAAGATACCTTTCTTGCTGCTTACCGTCGTGGGTTCCTTTTTATCGCAAAAAAGAATTGGGTCGAGCCGGAGTTATTTTTCCTTAGTATACTTTTTCGTGTTTCACCATTCACGTGTATATGTATATCATCGACTACCGGCCCTCCCTGAGACGAATCACATTCTCCGGAAAAGTTGCATCGCTCAAAGAGTTCTCACTCATTCCTGCATGTCTGAGAGCAAGATTAAACAGAACCACTGATATCAAAGTGTCAGTATAGGGCTTGTACTTCCTTCATTTCTCGGTAATGAAGTAGCAACTCTTGTCTCGCCGTATCACTTCTCTTATTGCAATCTCAAAATGAGGATTTTCTTTGTATTTGCCTTTATGAATATATGATAACTGGGTTGCGGATTTTTATATAAATTAAAACATTTATGATAATCAATTAGAGAAACACATTTAAGATAAACATTTCTCTTATCATTTGTTCACAATAATAAGTACTTGCTTTTTTATAGTTTTATGGCTCACGTGTGGCATTTATGTGTATACTTTATTTTGCACATCAAATTTTTTCATAAATATATAAAATCTGTAATCTGATGATAGACATTTACAAAACGGTTGAAAATTGGAAAACTGATTGAAAAATAGTCGCGTTCGCAATTGGAATCGCCCAGCACACATGTTAATTGTGTTCCGAGCAGCTGAAAATGGCCAAGTCGGTGGTCACCGTCACGATGGAACGGTGGATAGATAGGTTGCACAAGAAGCCGCGATCGAAGCTACTCTAGCCACTGTGTCCGTCTCTACAATGTTCGAACGAGAAGTACTTAACCGTGACGACGATCCGTGACACCGTGCCGGACGCAGAGAATTACCTTAATCTCTCTCAGTCTCATCCCAAAATCGAGACAATACCCACGGCTGACAACGTGCTCTGGCCTTTATCAACGCGCGTTATTATGCAGATACCGTCACCCTCTCCCGTTTCAGCCGCGTAGCCAGACCCAAATATTCTTGATGTAATTTCCCATCGAGACATTTTGCCGATAGTGCGAACCTGTGGACTGATCGACGTTGCGTTTCGACGGCCGACATAAATTTTAAAATCCACCCGGAACCGTTTGGAAAGTTACCAAGTACATATTATATTATCTCGGGTATATACTTTTCCCGCTGACAAGAGACGGCCGTGAAACGAGGAAAGCAGACAGTAACTTGTTTAGACTGTTGTCGAGTCACCGCAAGCAAGAGGGTGGCTTCTCTTTTTTTAATTGTTTAGCTGTTCGGGCTTTCAGGTAGCGGCAAATTGAATTTCGACTCGTTCTACCGGGTGGCGTGCCACTTCCAAGAAGAGGACGACGAGGCGTTGCAGAAGGAGCTCAAAGAAGCTTTCAGGCTGTATGACAAGGAAGGGAACGGTTACATTCCGACGAGCTCTCTGCGAGAGATTCTCGCGGCTCTAGACGATCAGATAACGCCCGATCAAATGGACGGGATGATCGCTGAAATTGATACCGACGGCTCTGGCACTGTCGACTTTGACGGTGAGCATTTCATTTCACTAACAAGTTGCGGATTCCCGAATCCCGCTCGACTCTCATCGCATGCCACGGCAAAATAACATCGCTCCTGCGTTCCCATTATCAACGGTCTAGCTTAATTACGTGACATACTATTATACGCTTGGGAACAGTCACTGTACGGAAGCGATCTAAATGCAAAGTTACAATATCGACGAGCCCAGCTTTTCCCTTGGCTTTTTCTGAGGCCTCTATAGAACTTGTTATGTTGGCTCGTACGAGGGCTTGATTAAACCCCGAACGTCTTAATACCGGCCTTTCATTGCTCCTTTCAAAAAACTTGAAGGAGGCTGCATAAAGGCGCAAGGATATGACCTATTTGCGCTCCACGGGAAACAGTCTCCTAAAGTAAAATGAAAAGGTACCGTTTCTCGCGGTGATCTTTAAAATTACGTCGACCCATTCGCTTACACGCGTCTCCTCGTCGAGGACGAAATTCGTAAAGACTGAATGGGATTTCCTTCTCTCTCCCTTCTATTAAATGGACACGTCTGATTAACCTCGTTAATTTTTACTTTTCAGAGTTCATGGAAATGATGACTGGCGATTAAACCGGGCCGCATATTCACCGTCTCACGTGAAAGGAAACGCCTGCATTTTCCTGCTGCGATATATTTCCGTCAATCGTGGTTGGACGTCAAATTGAAGTCGGAATCCTCTATCGAAATTGAAACCTCGCGGAGAGAAAATCGAATGCACATTTATTCGCTTCATATCTGGATAAGGGATCAACGAGACTTCGAAAAACTTCATTTCACTCACACTGTTTAAAATTCATTAAGTATTCAATTAAATGATACCTGTGATGATCATACAAGACATTCGTACATTTATATCTCAAACCAGACTAGTTCTGAAGCTAGTGGACTGTGAAATTCGTAGACAGCCATTATTCTCCGGTTCGCGTGATGAGTCGACAAAAGGTGGTAGAAACTCGGGAGGAAACTCCTTGTCCCTGCCGAAAGCTGAACAATTCCCGACGGGATCGATCCTTCGCCGCGGTAACAGACTCGCGTTCCTGAATTTCGCCCATCACCCGTTAGACCGATCGCGCCCGACGCGCCTAATAATTTCCCATCTCCCCCGATCCCGGCGAACTTATATGGGGTATTAATCAAGGATCACCGACGAGCAAATCGCTGAGCGTGCGACCGGGTCGTGTTCGAATTCCGTGAAGGCCACTTATTCGATCAAAACCCGGGCATCGACTCGCGACAACGTCCGAGGTCTCATAAGCTTTATAGCCCCGTGTTCTGCATATACGTATCAGCCTGGTTATCGAGGTTATAGACAATGGATAAGGCTTAACCGGTAATGCGATAGAATCGGGTGGACGCGAATATACTACCAGCTCTTTTCTTTCCATTGTCGAAGATTCATGACCGTCGTAAAGTGAATTCGCTAAGTTATGGATTACGGAATTGCGTTTCTATTGGTCGGTGACAGCAATGATGACGAGTGGAAGAATTGTTATATCCTCTAATGACATTCTAACGACGATACGAAGGAGGTCTCGAAATCTGGAAGGCAGGATTGTCACAGAGAAAGAAGAAAAGTGGGGTGGGAGGTAGCAGTTCAGGATCCAGGAGGAACGGGCGAGAAACACCCATCGCCACCCATTCCGGCTCCATGCTCCGCTTTCAAGCTTTTACCCGCTCGGCATCCTGCCTTCCCTTTTACCTCGCTTTCCTCGCTCCTCTCTCCTACGGCCAGGACTCCACGGCTCCAGGCCTGGCCCCAGCAGTTTCACCCACTCAAGTTTTGTCCGAGTGTTTGCGAGCGAGACCCGGAAGCCGGGTTCCCAAGGATCAATAATTGGGGCCGACTGCTACCGCCCTTGAAAAGCTATACCCCCGTAGGTGAGCCCGCGAGAATTGGTAGCTCGTGTAAAAATGCATTCAAGGACTCAAAGGAACGATGCAAATGAACCGTCCGTACACAAAGGACCACGGTCGACCCAAATGAATGCGAGTATCGGGAAAATAAAATACATACAAATGAGTGATCCGTCAGTTTGACTTTCCCTATGGTAGAAATGTTCAGAGTTTACCTCGAGTTTATTTTTCCTTGATTGCGATATGCGGTGCTGGTACGTAGTGGCTCATGGTATCTACAAAATATACAATACGTATTCGTCCAGGAGATTATTGCTGGATTTGCCCCAAGTTATCACAAAAATGATAAAACTATTTCCAGGAAGTATGTACATAGTTCTATTATGTTCATCGCAGATATTGCGACCTCCCCAGAATTAATGGCGACATTAGAATTATTAGCGAGCGCTGCAAGTTTCGTTGAAGTGACCATTTGAATCGCGTCCCGCCACAAGAGGACGGGAAGCAGAAAAAAGGAGGGTACAGCGAGCCTGAAGAGCAATTACAATAATTGCGACCTGGATTCCGTCTACGTCTTTATACGCGCAACGTTGTTAACATCTTTATTCGCGACGTTTTGTACGAGTTTTCCACGTCGCTGACCGTCGAAAGGCGTAGCGACTTATCCACCGTCCATCGAGTCCGTTGGGATGAAACCTCAGAAGTTTTTATAGGTGTGGTAAACGTGCGAGCAATTGTTGATGCGTGAATGGGGGTGGCAGTCGATTTAAGGATGTATTGGCTATACAGTCAATACCAAAAGTTTATGTACTTTAGAAACGCATTTTTTAAAAAGAAATCAGACGTCGGAAGAACATTGCTAATAATAGA